GAGGCCTGCGACATTTCGGTATCGTCCTCCTCCTCCTCGATTTCCATCTCAAAAATGGTCATCTTGCGTTTGCGATCGGAGAGAACGGTGGCCACCTTTCTGCTGCCCGAGACGGCTAGCATCTCGCACACCCCGTCCAATCCCTTGAAGGTGGCACCATCGACAATATCATGGATGCTGTGCGTCACAGTGGCGTCCTTCAGCTTGACCAGCGGTCCCATTTGGTGCTGGGTGCACTGATTCCGCGCCGCACTCAGTGAGAACTGGATGAAGTAACTATGCGGACGGACACCGGGATTCGAGTTGGTTGTCTGGGCCAGTAACGAAAGCGACGACTCATTGTAGAACTGAAGGGCGACGAAGCGCAGGTTATAGTAGTCCTCGTGAACGGGCGCCGTGAAGATGCCCGGATGCAGTTGTATCCTGGTGCAGCGCACAAGACAGTCGCCCGTGCGACTAACCTCCAGGATCATGGCCTCCTGCCAGCTGACGGTGCACGCCAGCATATCGCTCCGGGCCGCTTCATTCACATAATAGCTGCAGGTCACGAACTCCCGATCCTCCAGCCCCTCGCCGGGCTCCATGGGCGGCAGGTCGCCACAGATGACAGTCGAGGCCAGCTTGAAACTGCCGCTAATGCTCTCCGTTGGCTTATGGAACACCGCATCGATGGCATTGAACATCTTGTCGCGCTGCTGCACAAGGGACAGATACTTGTCGTGCGGCACAAACAGCTTGCAGTGGCTCAGGCACTCGTTTTCGGCCACCATCTCCTCCCACACCTGGCTGGGGTCCTTGGGATACGGTTGGGTCAAGTACGCATTGTCCAGATACTGACCCACTCGCTCCAGATTGAATTTGCCGCGTACCACTTCCTCCTTATCGTCCTTATCGTCCTTATCGTCCTCATCGTCGCTGCGATCCTCTATGTCCGGTTCCATGTCGCACAGAAAGTCGGCCAACGCAATGTTCTCGTCCTCGGTGAGCACCAGTTCATCGGGAATCTCCTGATGGGACAGACGGAGTATCGTGAATATCATCCAGGCGTGGAAGAGCTTCATGTTGTACACCAAAGTGTCGATCGTTCGCTGCAGTTCGTAAACTTTTAGGACGAAGGCTCCACAGGCTCGCATCGCCTCGTTGGCCACATCCGGCGAAATGAGCGACTGGAAAAGACGTTAAATGCGATAAATGCATGGATAAGCCTCTCATGAACGAACCGACAACCACGAACCTCGAAGAAGTGCGACATACGACCGAATCCCGCGATCGTGTTGAGGAAATAGAACATATTGATGGCCGATCCGTTCAGCTGCTTGAACACCAAGCCTTGCAGGTTGCTCAGACTGAGGTCCACCGAGTTGGCAATCTTCTTGAAGCCCTTCTCGGACAGAGTTCTAATGGATATGGGAGGACATATGAGCATGCTGCTCACCCATTAAGTGGGCAACTCACTCGAACAGAAACTCCTCTACCTCAAAGGTAGCGAATCCGAAGACATGCAGCTCCAGGAAGTCGGCAGAGATCTGTCCGTAGGGCTGGGAGTTGGCGTACTTGGTCAGCTTGTTGTCCATCTCCAGCTGCACAGTTTCCCAGGCTTCCGTCAAGCATTGCTGCGTGTCATTTATGTAGCTACATGCGGAACACAAAAATTGAATCATTATCATTATCACTACATTATTGATAAATATTGTATTACTTTTTCGTTTCCAGGATGTGGGCACAATGCGTGGCCAGTTCCAGCATGGGTGCCATGCACTCCTGCAGCACCTGGTTGTGAAAGTGCAGCATCTTCAGCTCCTGTCCGTCCCTCAAGAGAGCATAAATGGCATTAAAGTCCCCGTTGAGGCGCACATCATACACATCGAACTGCTCCGGATGCATAATGTGTTGGGTGAGATCAATGCTTCCCGCCTGCAGGGCACCGAGGAGCAGGAGGTGCACCTTGCCACTTCGCATTATCACCACCAGGAAGCAGGGCGACCCCTTCGGGAACGACTTCTGGTCAAGAGTTTTCAGGCAGGGATCGATATTGGTCAGTGGCTGCAGTTTCGGCAGGTACTTTCTGTGCTTGTCCTTCGCATTGCAGGTGTAGGTACCTGTAAAGGTATTTATGGATTAATGCAATAGGTATTATAGGAAAACCTACTCAAAACCCTCAAAAGAGGGTCTAGATAGGATATGTTCTTATAGGACAAAGTTCTGATTTGGTAAGCAGTTTTTTTAGCGTTCTTTGAGATTCTGGGCTACTTTTTGGATTTCCTTATGCCCAACTCGCCATACCTAGGTTCTCCTGCGAGTTAATGGCCTTGCTGAAGTAGACCTTCTTGATGTCGTCCTCATAGATCAGGCCCGAGATGATCGTCTCACTCTCCGCATCCAAGAGCGCCACCTTGCCGTTGCTGTAGCCGACGGCCAGGAGCGTCTCGTCCATTTGCCAGCTCAAGGAGCGCACCCGCACATCCTCGCCGGGCGTGGGAAAGGTGACGATCTTCTGCCAGTTCAGTCGCTGGATGACCACCTCGCCTGGTCAACGGAAAGCACTCGTAAGGTAGGGCTCTATTTATATATGTACATAGCTGCATCCAGATGCAGATGCAGTCACTCACCCTTCTCCGTTCCGTAGGCAATCAGATCCATCTTGTTGTTCCACTCCATGCGCTCCACAATGCAGGACATGTTGCGGGCGCCCAGCAGCTTCATGGAGCTCGTTTGGGCCATCTTTCCACGCTAGCACTCGTCCGGTGCGTATTCGCATCAACAATGACAATATCAAAGGAGTTTGGTTTACCGGCGCCTATCGAAGATTTATCGATAACCGCCTGCTATCGATGCCATAGAAACGAGTATTTTATTAAAAATAGTTAATATTAGACTTTATAAGCTTCTTTTTTTCCTAGTACATATTGAAAGAAAAATGTATAAACCAAAAATACCTTACCGAATCGATGTCTTAAAAACTTAGACTTTATACTTTGTTTATTATTTTATTTATATGCTATAGTGCGAATAAAATTAAATGGACTTATATGAATTTCTAAAAATCTACAAAATCTAAACATTTTCATAGAGGTGTTAAAATAATGTTTAAGTCTGATGATTTTTTACTTGACCTATTGATTCATATAAATGCGTTTTACTGGTTCTCAACCATCTACGCTTTAAAGAATTCTTTTGTCCAAATATAAATATGGATAAAACAAATAATATTTATGATTTTTTTTACTAATGCTTGCGCATTACTTATTTATTCATATAAATCTTTAGGTTCTTAACAACCTACAAAGTTTTAAATGCTTTTTTTGGCCGAATTTTGTAACAATTCAAAATGAGAATTAAAATTAATAATATTCAAAGGAACTGAATGATTGCCTTCTACAAAAATAAGCTTAAAACCTGGTTTCCTCAGGGAAAGATTGCCAATTTCCGTTTGAGAATGTGCAAACTTTATTACTTTACAGTGGTAAAAACATAGTGTACGGGATGTTCAGGGTCCCTAACTCTAGGTGCTTGATGGGGGTGTCCTTCGGCTCAGTCCCCGTTCGTCCTGTCCAACATACACTCACGGAAACATGTACGCCATAGACAATTGTATTTTACACTGCGATTTTTGCGGTCCTTAAACTTTTCAGGGGGAGGGGGCTTTAAAATTAAAACAGGATTATAAAAAAAAAGTCACATTTCAACTTATAGATTATGTATGTACTACCGCGGATCTGAACTCCGCCAGAACTTCAGTTAATCGATCTTTAAGCTTAGGGTCTACACTACCAAATATGTATATATCGTAAATGTTTATATGTAGAGACGGCGTGTATGTATCCACACAAGCGGGTAAATCCGGAACAGCCATCTGGAGTCGGAGTCGGTGTCCGAGTCCGAGTCGTTCCCCCAACTAGTCATCGGCATCCAGTTGGCCGTTGTCCAACTCGCTGCTCTCCTCCGGTTTGGCGTTCTCGTCCTGGTTGATGCTGCCAACGGGGCTGGCCGGTTCCTGATCCTGTTCCTGCTCCGGCTCCTCCTCATCGCCGCCCTCGGCATTGCTGCCGCCGCCGGTGGTGCCCACACTGCCCGGTGCGGTGTCGTCACCGGCGCCACTGCCTCCGGTGGAGCCCATGCCGCCGGAGACGAGATTGCCGGTGCTGGTGTTGCCGTTGCCATTGCCATTGCCGCTGCCCGTGTGCCAGGTGAGGCGCTCCTCGTAAAACTGGATGACCACCTGGGGACAGCGCAAGTTGGCCAGCTTGGCGGGCACCAGGTCCGCATGGTCGCTGCCCTTCCACTTCATCAGGAACATGAGGTGGCCGGACGAGTCGGTGGCGCCCAGAATTTTCGATGGCTCCAGGCCGCGCTCGAAGCCAATCAGCTTCTTTTGCTCCTCGGTGTCGTCCTCCAGGAAGCTCTTGCGCTTGCTGCGAATGGAGTCCGGCGTGGAGGATGTGGACAGGCGCTTCTTGGTCTCCTTCTTGTTGTTCTTCAGCGACTCCTCGAAGTTGGCTATCAAGTCCGGACAGTCGAGGTTCTCCACCGGCTCCCAGGTGTTCTCGCTGCGCGGATAGCCCTTCCACTTTAGGTAGTACTCCGTGCGGCCGTTCACCGTCCGCTTGTCCTCCACTCGTTCCACTGAGAATTCGGCCATTTCTAGTTCCGATTCCGTTAAGTTAATCGTTTGAAATCTGTATTTATTGTTTTTCTCGGCGTTATAACAAATTTGTTCGTGCGATTTGTAGGTGGAAGAAGAAGAGCTAGAGATGCGCAACTCCTTGCTTGCGAACTATCGGCATATATCGCTAGCGATGGCAGGTGCATTTTGCAGGTTAAAAACGGTAAAAGAAATCTTTTTTTAATTAATTAACATTAAGTAGTAACTTATATAAATAGATTGGTGTAATTAAAACTGCATATCATTTTTAGCTTTTTTTATATATAGTTTAAATTTACAAATTACAAACTATTTACTGTCATCCATAACTGCTATCGATAAGTGGCCAGTCTCACAATCGATTACCCAGTGCATTGCACGTGCGCTTGTTTTTTGAAAGAAATAAACAATATAATTAATAAACCAATTGACAGAAACTGAGCGAAAATGGGCGAGTTCATAGCTGAGATGCAGGAGCGCCTGCTGCCGGAGTACGAGCAGATGAAGAACTATAACGTATTCACGGCGGATCAAGTCAGGTGAGTGGGCTAACTAAACTGTGGGCTGTGTGGGCTGCGGCTACCAAATTATTATATTATTCGCAAAATTCTTGCAGAGAAATCGTTACCCGGCGTGAACGGCTGTTCCTGAAGATCAACAAGAGCCAACAGACCATCAGCGACTATCTGGAGTTCATACTGTACGAGAAGCAGATGAGCCAGACCATCACGGAGAAGGAGAAGAAGATGCACGTGAAGCTGACCGGCTTGAAGGCTTCGATAGCCACGCGGATCATGCGGCTGTACAGGGAGGCTCTGGGCAAGTTCAATCACGACCGGCGGCTGTGGAGCAACTGGATCAAGTTCAGCAAGAAGTCCAATCCCGTCGAGGTGGCGGGCATCTACGAAAAGATGCTGCTGGTTGGTATAATGATATGCCGATCTGCTCACTTCCATAGATTATAATCAATATGAATTCCCTCCCCACCAAAACCCTAGTACCATGGCGACTTACCGGACTTTTGGGTGGACGCCGCCTTGTGGTTGTACGAGTACAATCGCCTCAACATCGACCGTGTCAAGGATATCCTGTTGCGCGGCCTCCAGCGACATCCGGATTCAGAGGTCCTCAACAAATGCTTCTTCGATATCATGCTAAAGGAGGCATCTCTGGCCAGCGATGAGCGCAATTTGGCGGAGAACACGCTCTCCGAACAGGACATCAAACTGGAACGCGTCGAGGCAGTCTACCGCAATAGCATGGCCAACATCACACATCTGGACTATTTCGTAAAGCTCCTGGAGAGCTGTGAGGATCATCAGGAGCTGACGGGCAAGCTGCAGCGCATGATAATCGACGATATGCAGGAGAAGTTCCCCAGGGAGCCGGGTCTGTGGGACCTTCTTGCCCAGCGGGAATTGCGCGGCTTCCACCTGGGCGACTTGGAGGAGGAGGAGCTGGACACCAGCGACGAGGAACCGGCCAGCAAAAAACCCCGCTCTGTCAATGCCCGCTCTCTCAAGCGACGCATTCAGCTCTGCGTCACGGTTTACAAATCGGCGGTGGAGGAGCTGCAAACGCCGGAGATGTGGAACCTTTACTTGGATGCCATGTTGGCCCTTAACAGCGATGCAAACACAGAGCGTATCCTCAAGCAGCAGTGCCTGGCGGATGCTCTCCAGGCGGGCCATCGTTCGCAGTTGATGGGGGTGAAACACTATGCCACGCTGAGGAAAATGCTCTGCACTGCTCCCGGTGGAAGGGAGGCAGCCGTCACCATTCTCACGGAGGCCCTCAAGGCCGACTCCTCCGTGGAGATGCACGAACTGCTGCTGGCCACGCACATCCAAAGCGACAGTGAGCCCCTAATCTATGAGCTATTCAACAAGATCCACAAGAGCATGGGTAGTGAGGCGCTGCCGTTGTGGCGCAGTGTTATTCTGTATTATCGCACCCGGCAGGACAGCTTGGGCGTCCGGCGGCTGGACGAGATCTACGGCCTCGCCTGCAAGTCGGCGTGGCCAGAGTTTGGCGAGCTGCGTTCCGATTATCTGCGCTATCTGTGGCAGGAGCGATCCGTGGAGGAGGCACGCAAGGAGTACGCCAAACTGGCCATCCTGCCGCCCATGTCGCTGGCTCTGCATCGCCAAATGGTCCAGCTGGAGTCCAGCGTTGCGGTTCACGTAAGTATTCAAACTTTCGTTTAATTCACATTTAAGGTAGAATTTAAAAAAAACCTATTTACTTGCCCTTTTGCAGGACCAGGCCAGCCTCAAGTACTGGCGGATGTGCTACGACTTCATGGCCTGCTATTTTGGCAAGACAGAGCCACGCGTTTGGGTGGAGTACCTAGCCTTTGAGCGCGACCACGGCGAGACGAAGAACATCTCCCTGCTTGCCCAGCGCGCCCTCAACACTTTGGAGCCCCAATACGTCGCCGCCTTCGAAGCGGAGCGGACTCTTTCCTACGTTGGCGCTGCTATAGTTGGTTAACAGCTGTTCTAGTTTATTTCTTGTTTTCTTTTTTTACTTACTTCCTAAGTCAATCTATAGTTGATAGATTCTATTATAAGAATTAAAAAAAATTTGTTGTAAACTATTTAGTTGTGAATATAGAATTTTTAAGATGATAAAAGCACTTAAATTTTATTTGCGATTATTTTTACTATTTTCAAAAGCAGTTTTCAAGCAGTTTCTAAATAATAGTGTGGTTTTATACCTTTAAAACCATTTGTCTACTGTATTTTATCATTAATGTGTAATTAAATTTCAAAAGAATTTACAAACCTTTTTGGTATCCAATAGTAAAAGTAAATACAAAATTGGGCATAAACTTTACAAAGATCTTTTCTAGAAAGAACATTTTTAGAATCATATTTATTTTAAGAAAAGTTGCATAGATTTACTCATGTTGATTTTGTAGAATTATATGAATATTTTAAAACTGATATTGCGGCTTAGACATCCGAGAAACGCTAAGTCATCCTGGCACTTGCTTCCAGTTTGTTATGGATTCAAATTTAAGGATAACATCCTTTAACTTCTCAGTTCGCCGGATGTGTCCAAATATTCGATTTAAATGCCAATGGATTCGAAATATTCCCAAAAGTAGTGATCCATGCGATTTGAAATTTTGAGAGTGTGTTTTTACTATTTAAGTAAAAAAAAGTTAAATAAAAAAGTTAATTTGTCATCCCTTAAATAATGCTTCACTATAAATAAATAAATATAAAACTTTTGCTACTGCTGCTGCGTTGTTGCTGCGCTGCCCCTGCTGCTGCTGCTGCTGCTTTGCTGCTGCGTCGCCGTCGACGTCGACGCCACTGGAGCTTTGGAAGCGAGAAGCGAACGCCGACGACGGCAAAGTCTTGGCCAGTTCAGTTCACTTGCGTACGCCGTGGAATCAACAACACGCACCAGGACCCACATTATCCGCAACACATATTCCGATCTGATCCAATCCGACCAAATTAGAGCCCAACGAAAGCGAAATCTCAATTAACCGCCATGGAGTTCAACAATCGCCTGTTGCTGAAAATCATTGAGCTGGTGAGTAAATGAATATAAAATTAAACTTAAGGCTCCCAACTCTAAAATAAATGTGAAGAAATGTTAGCGTAACGTGATTACCCTTTTGTGTAGCATACAATAAATACTGTTTACAGCTTTTTGTTCTTTATTGCAAAACTAAATGTTATTAAATTGTTTTCATAATATACAAATATTTCGTACATTTGTCAAATTGTTCTATGTGTAATGTAGGACTTAAAAATATTTTTAGTAAAACTTAATAATACAAATTGACTGAAACTATTTATTGAAAATATCTTGTTCTGTTCTTATATGGCTTTTTATGTAAAATTTGTAGAGAATATATAATCAGACTAAAAAATAAATTTGTTTATTGGCAAGCGAATAAAAAAGAGCATTAGAGTCAAATTTTATGTGTGGCGGCTGCAGCTTCGAGTTGAGAATGCTGACTGTATAGCAATGATGTTATTCTATATTTTTTGTGAGCGTCTGCTTTTCTCCTTCCCCGATTTCAATCAATTTCCTGTTGCGTCTTAAGAGTTTCTGTGTTATTGTTGTCTTTTGGACCCCGGGTCTTGAAAGGAAAAGGAGCGACCGGTTTTCGGACCACAACAAAGCAGACTATGACTTCATTGTTTTTGCTGACACTGTTTTTGAATTTTTGTTTTTGGGCTGCGTAGGTCTTGGATTAATGCGTGCTCTCGGCTCAATGATGTCATGACCTTTACGCCATCCTCAGTTTTATTTTTTCGGCGTTCCCAGCGGCTTAATATGTGCTAAAACAGAGCAACAACAATAGCCCCAACATTAGATCATTCGTTTCAATCGCATTTTGTTTTGTCCAATTTGCCTTTATTGCCCATTTGCTAGGTGTGTTTCACTAAAAGTAAATTGCCTTGCAAATTGTAAAAGTTACATGCATGTCGAAATTATCAAAAGCCAGGCTTAAGATTATTTTTTTTAGTGATATGTGCTAGTCTGTTAGTTGTCAATTTAATATTTCCAAGCAAATGATCCAGGGTTTAATTTTGGGCCAAGCACAGATGACATCATTGCGGCGATTTTGTGAGCTTAAAAGAGAGCAAATCAGTAGATAAAGCTCCAATTCTAAATACTTAATAATAATCAAGTATAGAGTATAGTCGTTATATTATCATATAAAGCGTAGAGACCTTTTGTTATTGCGATGACACTTGGGCTTATAGCTTCACATAATATCTAAAAGATATTAAGCGATTTATCATAATTAATTATGTTGTCTTTCTGCCTTTATTAATTGAATTCCCCGAAAATGATTTATATATGTATTTCGGATTGGTTTACCCAAATATATCAGTTATTTTTATACACAACAAAAAATAATATATGTATTTGCTTGACATAAATCTGATTGTTGCTCAAACTGTTATTAAGGTCAGATGCTTGTAAATGCAAGAATGATCGTATAAAAATATGTATTTGCATTGCTGAGACATCTGGGGTTTGTTTACTTAATAAATTGATTAGCACAGCGATTAGTCAAGCGGATCTGAGTCGAGCTAATGTCAATATATATCTCAATCTCTTTTTATTTTGGGTTATGTTTCGAGCTAAGTTGTACAATATCAGAGCATCTTTTGTTTATTTATTAAACATTGATAAGCAAAATTGGAATTTCCTTTACTAGAAGTAAAGTTGATTCATACATATTTGTTTATAAGAAGTATTGTTGTTTATTTGCCTTCAGTTATCAGCATATAATAGCCTCATTTTCCTCAATCTTTTCAAGTTTATTGGTGTTTTCGTATGCGTACTATAGAATATGATCACCATTTAAAAATGCGCCCGATTGTCGAAGCCATTCATTCGGTGATCTTGAAGCTCAGCTCCCGGCAAATGAGTCAACTGCGACTTATTCCGATGGTTACATCACTGCAATGCGACCCACTTGCCGGGCACTCGATTTATATAGTAAACATATATATATACATATATACATATTGCAATGCGGATCAGGCCTGCCTGTCCGTCCGGTGCAATCCGACCACACCCACTTTATAAGGAGGGTGTGCAATCACGTCCGCCGATTGATTCACTCACTAATCGGGATTAGGTTGGAAAATCATCACACAGAACAAAATTTGGGTGCACTTTCTTTAGTTTGGGTAAATATGAAATGGCCTTGCTACAATAAAATTATTTAAAATGGGAATTATGTGTGGCATATGAAAGTATTTAAATATGAGGACTTAAGTGAGCGTGAGATAAATCTTAGACATTCTATTATATCAAAAATATCTTTATAAAAGAATAAATATACAATATAAACATCCGGTCCAAAATGAGACTCTATTTTTCCCGGTGCAGCCAAAAACAGCAGCTACCACTATGACCTCATCGTGCACATGGCCAAAAAAAAAAAAAAAAGCTGAGAAATCTGGCACACATTACGCATACGCCATGTGTGATCCCCGAAAGGTTGGTTGCATTGAGTAAACAATGGAACGTTCATGGAACGGCTAATTGGGCACTGGAACTGGCTGTTTCTTGATTATCTGCCTGTAATATTATTATTTTTGTCGGTGAGAGTGCAAATCAATGGGCCAATAATACCCATAGACTTTTCAAATATTTGTCTCCTGGGTTTTGTGAGCTGGCAGGCAAATAGACGTAAACGCAAACGCAAAAGAAAACTCAAATGAAAGATAAGAACTTGGCCCATTGTGATTGCCTTCGACAGTTTTCTGTTCTTGCTAAATTCTGGCAAATGGCTCGTAAACATTTATACGGGCTAATAAATGCTTTAATTGCAAATCAGGAAGGCACATTTTCTGTTTATCTTATTATTTTATTTATTTTTTTCGATTTTTGAAAATTCATTTAATTGATTTGTGTGTGCGCGGCTTCCCCGATTTTTCCCCGCCAAAAACTCTATGGGGTGTCAGTTGGCGTTATAATGAATGGGCCATACTAACAATATCAATTGAAAATAAAATTGATCTACGGCTTTGCCGAACCTCGACAGCCACATGGGTTTTTGGGTTCATTTCAGTTTGGCTATTTTTGGTCAGTAACCAGACTTGTGTATTTGCAGGGGGCGTGGCATGTGGGTTTTCCCTAATTAATTTGCAAAAAAAAAGTGCCATTTGCCAGAGAGCAGGCCATACAACTTGTTAGTAACACCTGCCATCGAAAAGTAAACAACTCTTAGTCACACAAAAGCGCATTTCATAGTTGGTGATAATTCGAGGAAAAAGTTTATTTTATTTTGTTATTGCAAACTATTAACGGACTCGCCGGAAACAAAGCTGGTCAAAGCCTGGGAGAATTATAAAACAACAACTAAATAAAACAAAATGGGAAAAGAATAAAAAAACTTTTTGGCTTAAACACTATTAAATACAGAAAAAAAAAGGATGTGAAGATATGGATTATTTTTATCAATGTACATAATATATATGTTTCAAACATGGAGATCTTTAACCTTAACCTATTAATTGCTTTCTAATGTGTTTTAATAAAATGTATTAAGTGCAAGAACAATTTCTTGGCTGCATATTACCACTAAACGCTAAGCATGGTTTCCTATTTAAGCTTTTGCCTTGTGTCTTCCCAGAAAGACATTAAACAATCTATTCAGCAATTACGAACGCTGATAGACAGCATTTTCCCACTGCTAATCGGATAGGAAACACCATCAATGAGGCCCCACTCCCGAAATGTACTATGTACTATGCGCGCCGTTAATGTGATTCCGCTCTTCGAATTTCACGATTATTCGGGTGTTAATGTCGTTTTTGGGTTCACTTTCCCCATTGCCGATTTCTGGGTGTGACAATTAAACAATAAAGAAGCCGCACAGAAAATATATATTTATACGGATGTATGTACGGGTATAAATAAATGGCAAATGGCAACGACATTCGGTAATTATTGACAAAGATAATGGACGGGGGGAAAAAAAAGGAAGGCCCCCCCGCGGAAATATCTATTTATATATATATGTATTCCTGAAACCGAACGAACTCTATACGGTTTCATATAAAAATGTAATAGGGTATGGGGTATAGGGTATAGGATATAGCCAACGCATTAAGATGTGTATATGTATATGGCATTTGTTTATTTTATTTTCCCCCTTCCGGATGCCTAATGACCTAATGACCTATGCATTACAATGTCAACAAGGTTTCTGCCTGCATCCTGGAATGGCGTGGAATTTTTTCTACCAAAAACCAATTAGCCGAGCAGACGAGCCGCTCTCCCAATTGATTGATTGCCAACGGGTGTGTCGCACTTAGCGATGGCCCACTGTTGCGTATTGGTCCTCGATGGCTCGTCAATTTATCGCCACAAAAGCCATATCTGTCGCTGTCATTTTGTCGCCCGGCAATATCGAAATTATTTTCATATTTGATAAGCAAATGCGGGAGTGGTCGTTGAATTAATTCCGCGGCTTCTGCCGCCAATTTCCATGGTGATATATGGAGTGCTTTGTGGTAGCTCAAAATGTGACGGCCAATATTAAATGATGAGTTTTATTTATGATTTTGTTAAAAAAAATAAATGTTTTTTGGGAAAACCCTGTTAAAAAAAATATTATTGATTGAGGATCATCGCTTGAAGCTTTAAGCTACCAGATAATTTTTAAATTGCATTTTTTTATAGAAATTTTTAAATACCTAAAAAAACTTAAATTAGGACTAAAGTAAAAGCCTTTATTGTCAACTTTCAATGTTTGTGACAGGTAATTAAAATGAAATACCAAGTGATTTGTAAGCTAACAAATTTATAAATCATATTTTCATGCTGGGTTTTTATGGCAAAACTTCCGGTAGTTTTATCAGAAACACAAAAAACATAAAACAAAGAACGGAATACAGAAAACATATGGTTGGGAATAAAAGCCATTAAGTACATGCCGCGGACAAAATTATCAGATCGTTTTTTCACACAGCTTTAAGTGCTAAGGCAAATGTGATTAATTTTGTTTAAAGGGCTGCAAAAGAATTGAAGATCGTTTGGTAATTTGTTGTCATTACAAGAAATTAGATTTTAGCTGTTATTTGAAATGATTTAGATACTTGCACATCCATATATGAACGTAGAAAGATATTTCAGACCAATAGACATATTATTTCTGACCCATTTTTGTCCAAAAATTTGAATTGAAAAAATAAACAATGTTTCCAAATTAGTCGGAAAACATTAAGACATATCCTCTTTTCAAAACATTCTTCATTGGTCAAAAAACATTTAAATGTGTATTTTGAAAGGTCGTGCTCAAAACAGTTTAATTATATTAAACTAAACATACTTATTTAACAATCGTACTCTAATTAAATCTACTTTTGCTCTATAAATTTGAAAGTCGTCTCCAAAAACACAATAAAAAATGCTAAAAAATTGTTGTTGGAAAGCTTTATACAATTATGGGTTAGATCTATCTATCTTTCTGTCTTTGCGACTCTTTGTCTGTGTGCCAGCTACTATATAGCTGTGTCCGAGTTTGTCCGTCTGTGCATTTGTCTGTCTGATTTGTTGAGTATCGAGTCCCTAACTCCCAGGTCTTCATCGTCACAATTATTGTCCTGCTCGAGAGCATATCGGACCTGACCTTCATCCGTCAAGCGATGGTGGTCTATGGCACCTTGATTGGCTACCTGATCGCCTGCTTTGTGATAGCAACAGGTAATGCCCCATTTCCTTGGTGCCCTGGACTCCGGCTAAATTGGTGGATATTCTTGCAGGTCATGTTGGTGGCACTGCTGTGGACAAGCGTCTCGACATCCTCTTCTCCATTGGCGGCTTTGTCCTGTTCGTGGCCACGGGTATCATTGTCCTGGACCAGTGGCTGGAGTACTGCAAGTCGGCGGCGGAGAGGGAAGTGCTGCTGGTCTGCGGCATCTTGAGTTTAGCCCACGGAGCCATCTTTGTGGGCGATATATTCGTTGTCTTGGGCTCATAAAATATTCGTTCAATCAATGGAAAACAACGTATTCTTATGAGGATGACTAATTTTAAATTATTAAAAGAGTAATATTTTATATTGATTTTTTTTAATAGAATATGATCTTTTATTTTTGTCAATATACAAAATGTAGTACAAGACTAGATTGACTTTTTAGAGCATAAAAACTTAATGGCTTTAAAAATGTGCGAAATAAAAAATTATAACTAAAATAATCGCTTTATTAAAAATGTTATACTTTTGAGACGTCTTTGGGAAACTCTTATTGTATAAATGGAATTTAAGCGATCCGAAGAATTTGCAGTTGGTTACATTAAATAGTGCAATGCCAAGGAATTCAATAATGTAGGTATTGAAATAATTATGGTTTAAAAGAAAAAAATCCTTAATTTATAATAAGCTTATGTGTATATTAATATTGCTACATTGACCAGGAAAATGCTTGCGATTAAATTAAGCAAAGTATTTTAATTCTCAGGGGAAATCATCTGTTAGATCAGCTTTTATTTAAATCTATATAAAGCCAAAAATCTATCAAAAACGGCTGGAAAGATTGCTATTAGGACCCCTTTTTTAACCCCAATACACATTTTTGATAAGCTCAACTTAAAACACTATATATATTTTATAAATGTTTTATAAATTGTTAATTAAAAACGGCTGGAGAGATTTGTCTTTTCAGTAGATTGTAATTGACAGGAACAGGTTTTTACGAAAGAAAACTTATTGAGTCTTTAGTTTCCATAATTTTGTCCCGTTTAAATGAACCCTTCTAACCATTTGCTATTACTTCTTACCAATTTCTTTAGGCCATCGCCATCGCCTGCATTGTGTTGTACGAGACGGTTGGGAACCTCTCCTCTCGTCCGGTGATTGTGGCCGGCACCATCGGTGGTTTCACCGTCATCTGCGGCGTTCTGCTTGTCGGTGAGTGGTCAGGCCATAAGTCGTTAGGTTACACCGAATTAATCCGATGCAAATGATTGCAGGTCATGTGATCAACTCGTTGATTGAGAAGCGCCTTAATGCCCTGATCTCGCTGATCGGCTGCCTGCTGTTCGTGGCCTCCGGAGCTCTGGTGATCGACGAGTGGCACGGATGGTCCCCGTTCCCGGATAGGAAGCGCCAGGCCATCGGAGCCGGGTCCCTGATGATCATCAATGCGGCCGTCTTCCTTCTGGACACCCTCTGCATTTGCCGGACGTAAAGATCGTTCCGTTCCAAGTGGAAAAGTTTTTTTTTTTTCTTGCAAATCGAATAACTCGTGTGTCATCCACACAACAAGAATCTATGTTCTAGATGTAAAAGTATTTTTTTTTTTTGTGTACAATCTTTCTATATGTGTATTTTATACGTGTCTTAAGCTAATCTCAGATATACGCACGCAGATTATTTACAGGAATCCATTAAATATATATATAATATGCACACATACATGCCAGCTATCTGTGGTTATAATATGCTAAGTTCACAACATCTGCTCGAGTCTTACATCACCATAATTGCCCCGATCCCCGCGTGCCATCCACATTTCCATTACCATCCGGGGATAATGGGCCATAATTGCCGGAGGCTTTCTGAGTTTCTGGGAAAAAGCTGGCGGCGGGCCTGACGTCACGTGCCAACTGTTGCAAAATCCAGCGAACTGCGATTCGAATTCCGATTCCGACCAACACTGCCCCCCAAAAGGTTGTCAACTCCTCCGCTTTTCCCATCCCATTCCCATTCCCATTCCAACTGGAGGGCATTACCTTTATCTGGCACTCGACTCGGGGGCAAAACCAACGCAATCCATCTCGGCATCTCCATTTGTGCAACTGTCCCAGAGAAAACTCATCCGAGAGTTAGGGATTTTAGCTTGTTCAGAAAACAGTGGTCTGAACAATAAAAAAATATTAGTACTTAGATATTTCAGTGGATTACAGCCTACAAAAAATATGTTATATTACATAATTTCTAACTGAAGGAATATATTTAAAAGCATTAATATAAAAAGTGGCTTCTTAATTATTAGAATAAACAGATTTTTAAATACTAAAGCAGTTAGGGCTTAAAAAATGCATATGCTTCAATTTAAATTCTTAGGTTTTGATTGTTACTATTCATTTAAAAATACTTAATATCTTAGAGGATTACTTTTAACTAAGAAGTATTAAAATATTTGAAGACAATTTATGAATCGGAAGTATAACATTATTAAAAATTATTTTATTTTTTTTGTATGTTATATTATTTATTTTTATTTTGTATTTGTTATAGAGCATTTTGTATTCGTTGCTTTTCGCTGAGGGAAAACTGTAATCTTTCTGCTGTGTTGTTGTCGTGCTACAAGCTTATTATAATTAAGCAATTTATTTAATTTCTAATTATTTCTTATCCTCCGCATGACAACTCTGTGAAAAAAATTATATAAAACCGACAACCGCAGGCGGACGGAGGTGCCTGTTTTGGCGGAAGAACCGAAGAGGAAAAAAGTCGAGATAGATCGCTTTTAGCCGAGCCTCAGATGCAAAGATACGCGGCTGCCGAGATACAAAGATACAGATACAGATGCACATGCCGCCAAAGACTTGAAACCGCCTTGTGATTTATATTTACTTTTGTTTATAATTTAATTTGCTGTGTATGTTTTTGTTCCCTCTCTTTATGTTTTTTTTTTTTTTTTTTTTTTTTTTTCGCCTAACTATTTTTAACTTATACTAAGTTAACTTGCTAAGCCTCTAAGAGGTCTTAATTTGTTGCTGTATTTTTGGTTTTTGTTGCTGCTGGGAATGTAACCTGCTGTGGCTGATGTCTTGCAACGATTATGTTACACGATAATTGGCCGCAATTACGATCGGAGTGGTAGTGTTGGGGTTCAAAGTCAGGGTCATGGGGTGCTGTGATATTGCCGACAAGTTCATTGAGCATTAGACTATATATTTTTTGGCGTGCATGCATACAAAAATTCGTATCCGAAATGGCCAGCCAGAAAAACGAACCGATCATGGACTGTGAATTTGAGATCCGTGGCAATGTTCCCAAGGAGGCCTTTCAACTATTTGCATCCGCGCAGGCGAAAACCCTGGGACTCCGGGGATTCATCACCCAAGTCAACGAAGGGCAATACAGGGGTCAGCTGCAGGGCGAGGGCAAGGTCATCGAGGCCTTCAAGAAGCTCATTCTGGCCGCCGCCGAATATGTGCAGGCCATCAAGGAGTTCATCATCAAAAACCTAAAGGTCATTCAGGAATATACCTACAAGACCTTCGAAGTTAAGGTGAATCCCAAGTAGCCAAATAAAACGTTTTAAATTTTACAAATATAAACCCCACGAAACAACAATTTTCTTATTTTGACTATTTGTATTTTTTTAATTGTAAGTTTTATTCAAAAATCGCAGCCTTATCTTACTTTAATATATAAATTATATATTTCAAAAATTTATATTTGTTCACCGACTATTTTATTTTATCAGAGTTTATTTAAACTATTTTTCTTTGCATAAGGTGTTTAGCTAATTTTTGTAAATGGATTTAACAATAGAAGAATTATATTCCCTTTCGTTAAATTAAAATAAATTTAATTTTTATGTATATTTAATGTTTTAATTATTTAAATCTAGTTAAACCATTTTCCTGTCTAGTGATTGATGTAAATTATCACAACAATAAGGTATAATGTTTTTTACTACCAAATTCCCAAAGAAAATAACCTGTGAAGCTGCAGAAAATTCTCATGAGATCATAATGATTGTTCGATGGCTGATTTATGCAATTCCCCAAATGACCCGTGAGTTCTGTTCTTCAAAGCCGACGGCTCCTCAACTTGTTCTAGGGCCAATCGTGACCAATAAGCTAATGATGTTATGTCCGAGGGAGGGGCTAACCTTGTGGCCATCGCCGATCGGATATCGCATGCCTCGGATGCATAATCCAGCGATGTTGATGTTCCCGGCCGCTTGGCATGCAAATCGGAGACATGATCGCCGCCTCGATCGACACGATCCAAACATACTCCAAACATACGACCACGGATGGTTATTTATGCACTCGCGGATACGATTGCCGATTCGATCCCCGACTTCCCCGACTTCCCCGACTTCCACGACTTCCCAAACTGGCCGCCACTCAACTCAGATAATGTATCTGCAATGATATATGGACGGCTAATCTATCATGGCCCAAGCAACGTTACAATTTTATGGGTCAATTTGCGGACGGCCATTAGCAGAATGTGTGTGTGCAACAGGTAGCCGGGTATCTGTTTGTCTACTATATATGCTACACGGACAAAAATCTAGCACCATCTGACCTATCTCGCAGAGAATTAAATATGAAATTACTAATTGATTGAGTTTTTTCCAAGAGTTTCCTTCGTAAAAGCCGTTTTTAAATGAAAATTGTTCACACCATCTTTACAAATATGTGTATAGAAATATATAATAGAATTTTTTGAATAAATGTTTTTTGTTTATTTAAACATTTACTTATAAGTTAACGAATTTTTCAAATATTCATGTGCAAACATACAAATTTTTCAGTAAAAGTTTTTAGCTGTGTATTTTATGCATGTAAGCAACGGACTCGACCCATATGCGAAAAAGCCACAAAATTGAGGGAAATTAACCTAGGCGGCGACTTCGACATCGATGTCTAACGAATGCGGTTGGTTGCCTCGAATATATGAATCCCAGTCTGGATCCGAATCGGAATCAAAAAACAACGGTCGCGTAATTGCAGCGCTGTGGCAACTCTAGCAAACCGGAAAGAACGGCGACAATAATCGCCAATCGGATTTTGTCGCAATCAGTGTTGACTAAACTTGAGCTAGTTAGCAGCTTTAATCTGAAAGCTGATCTAGATTAATAAAAATATTGATTAATGGCAATTTAACAATTGAAAATAAAATATAGCCTTATTACAGAACAAAATTCGAGTTGTGCTAGTTGAACATAATAAATCCGATTAATTTTTTATAGTGAAAATATAATAATTTGGAAACAAACGCAGGAAAAACGTATTTTTTAAACCCATATAGGTACAAATTTCTTTTGTGTTTGCAACGTGTGTGTCAAGAAAATCTTAAAAAAATTATAATTCGGAATCACACGTGGGGAAAAGATATTGATTGGACCAATCAATCAATCTTTCATTCACAAGGTCTATAAAAAAGCTGAGCCACCATCTCTGATCGGCAGCGTCATCGGTGGAACGCAGTCGCAGTCTCAGTCGCGGTTGGCGTCGCTGTCGGCGTCCGCTGACTCTGATTCTGGCGCTCTGCCGCTCAGTTTGCTTCGAGCGCTGGAACGTGAAAGTCGACGGAGGGCCAACGCTGCGGATGAAAACTTCGATGCGATCTGGAAACATTTGAAAAGCGCAGGCGTGCAACGGTTTTTTCGTGGCATTTTTTTCGAGTGTGGTGGCTGAGTGAAAATCAAACGCATTTCGTGCATAATTTGTGGAATTTTACACGTTGTAAAATCAATTTTATTGTGCAAACTAATTTTTTGCAATTTTGTTTGCTTTCCGTTGCTGTGCGGCAACATATGAAAATAATGCAGCCACATTAAGCGGGCAAACAATAACCAAAACAACATCTAAAGAGTCAGCAGCATTACAGGGCACTAAAACCGGAGGAAGAGGTAAGTAAATATTACCATTCATTTGTTGTTCTTTCGTTGGGACTTAAAATTTGTTGTTTTATGTTTATTTTGCTGCTTGACTTTCAGTTTATTTTATTTGACTGATTTTTTTGGCATTGCATTTGAAAGGAAGCCAAAACCAAACTTGACTTTTGTGCAGAGAAATTAATCTGCATTTAAAAGAGTTAACTCTGTAATAAATACTCGATATGCTTAACTTTATACTTAATTTTGTTTCAGCTTAAAGCGGTTAGAAAAAGAATGTTAAAGCTCTATTTAAACCATACAATATAAAAACACCAATAGAACTTAAAATACTCTTAAATATTTTTAAATATACAGATGAATAAATAATAATTTTGTATGATATTATAACGTAAATATCAAAAAGATTGATTATGCGTTTAAGTTAAATTAATCTGCCAGAAAAAAAAACAAATAAGGCAATATTTTCTTATTGTTTTAAATGGTATAAAAACGACGTATATTTGAAATATTCAAATTTTTTAAAAGACATATTCAACTTCACATAAAATATTTATTATAAAAATAATAAAAAAAACATCAAATACTGTAAATATTAGAATTTGTGATGGATTTGAATGTCAATAAAAATAAAGAAAAACAAGAACTTAGAACTAGGCATGAATTCTCAAAAAAAAATGGGCAACAACTTTTTCTCTCTGTGTGCCTATCCCAGCTGGCACACATACAGACACACACACGCACACCTAGGCATAACCTCATTAAAGTTGTCGCTGTTGTTGTCCTCATTTATCCGGACTCGAAGAGTTGGAGCTCGGAGTCGCGGACTCAAAAACTCTGAGCCGTCTTCGATTATTGAGCCGTTTGACTTTTTCCCAACTTCCAACGAACCTGTTGGCCCCACTGGCAAAACGAAGAAAAGACACCAAAATAAAAAACAAAATCAAAAAAAAAAAAAAAAAACTACAGAAAATATATACAAAACTGGGGGAAAAAACGTATAAGAAACGAAAACATGCTCTGGTCAGCCTCTAGAAATATGCGAGTATCTGTCTTTGAGCTCTTTTCTCTTCTCCAGCTCGCGGTGTGATTTTGAATTTTTTGCGCCTTCAACACTGGCACTCGGCGCACTCGTAAAGCCCATAAAGTGCATTAAAAATTGCGGCTGACGTCCATATATACTTGACCTATCCGAACCGGGCTTCTAGGGGGGATAATGGTCTGAAACCTGGCCGAGTTGCTTTCTGGGTTGGGCAGTTGCACTTGGCCTCAAATCGCTTTATTTTCCCAGAAAAACAATAATTTGTTGAGACGGAATAGAGCGACTTTACAGAAATTTATAGGATAAATAATAACACTAAGAATATACAAACTATACATTAAGATTTCCAGATTATTTTCTAAAGTATTATAAATATTAAAGAAAAATATTTTTGTAATTTTTAAAACTGTTTTGGTAAAACATTTTAAAATTAAACAAAGCTAAAGCTTACAAAAGAACAAACTTTTTAATTGATTGTATAATTTTGTTGTCAATAGAACTCAGATTTTAGTTTGCAAGGTGCATAGACCTTATATTCCTTTGTTTTGCTTGAAAGATTACTTAAAAGCGTAGGAAAAATATGCTTGTTAATTCAAATATTTAAATCATAAATGTTTAACATTTGATGGGCAATTTCGAGCTATTAAAACCAGGTTTTTTCGCCGTGCACTTAGCTTTGGGCCGAGAGCAATTTTCGTTTGGATTTGGCCCCTCCTCTCAAGTCCCCTTAACAATTATTATAACTCTGCCGCATCATTATCGCCGCGCTTGAAATCTAATTTCTGCCTCGGCCACAATTTGCCACACGATTTTGTTTTGTTTTATTTCATTTTCTTTGTTGCGGGTCCGAAAGGAATTGAAAGTGCGCGCGCATGCGCAATTAAGGCCAAGTGCGCGCGCAAAAAAAAATAAATTCACAAAAAAAAAGTCATCTGGCAGGAAAACAAAAAAGCCATAAAAAATGTGAGGGGGGAATTTGGAAAAAAGAGTCAACCGATTGTCGGCGGAGGCTGAAGGCTAAAGAGCAGAAATTCACTTTTCAGGAGGCATTTATCTTGCAGAACCCAGAAGAGAGTTCCAAAAAGCCAGTTGGTGAAAATCCAGCGCATACAGGTTATAAAGATTTATGATCACTTTTGATACCGTCCGTCGTTCGTCGTCTGTCGTCTGTCGTCCGTCGTCCGTTCGGCCTTCCAATGTAGGTGAAGCTCAAGTGAAGTGAAAGAAGATAACGTGGCTTAGAGCCGCCGGATGAGTTGGTCTGAGTGACTGGGCCACAAATGTGGCCACAGCCATATAGCAATGCCCACTTAGATCCAGGTCATCATTGCCGGCGAGTGCCATTTGCCTTGCCATCGAGAAAACTGCGATTTCTTCGGCGAAATCAACTAAATCAAATCAGGTGCAAATTTAATTAAATTAAATTACTTACGATTAAGTCAAATAACCGTAACCTTTGAGGCTTTAACGTTTTATAAATATTATACTGTTTTTTTTTATTACAAATATTTTAAATAAATAGGTATTCGCAAGATAGTTGTATTTCCATATATTTCAAAAACTTAAGTGACATTTTGGTTGCAATTACTAGTAATTATAGAATTTGTATTTCATATTCAGCCTTATCAACAAGCAGGTGCTTAAAATATCACTTGCATAATTGTTTTCTAAGATTTTTCAGCTTACCTATTAATGAAACATTACACATTTAAAATATTAGTAATCGAATTTTTTTCATTTATATTATTTACTCAACACTTCAAACAATTGACAATGATTGATTGGTTAAATTGCTGGGGAATGGGGTCAAAACTATTGGGTCAACAAGAAATTCATTACATTCATTTATTTGATTTTATTTTTGCGACCTTTCAGATTTGGTTTTTTTTGTTACTCAGTTAAATATTAATTATGCTGTGTACCTAGTGTTTTAATCATGCAAAGATAGCAAGTAATAAACACACTTTTGTAATGAATAACATCACGCCCTAATCTGCATTTAACGTTACTCATAATTGTTACTCCCTTTTTTTTTTATTATCCGTACAATCTGGTTTTTATAAACGTATACACATAGAGTTATCTGTTGTGATTCACTTGATTGAATCGTGTTGCAATCATTGTGTATTCAAACATATAGTTTCTACTTTGTTTGCAATTGTTAGCCAATAGATCAAATTAATGATTTCTTAATTGGCTGTTAACGTGAAACGAGTATAAAGAGAACAAGTACAGGTGTATTAAATCAATCAGGACTTAAAGTACCCTTAAGACATTCTTGAAAAACAAAAATACTATTATTGCAATTGACATTAAGTCTTGCTTTTTAATCTTTCTGAACTTTACTCCATTGCAACACTAATTAATTACTTCAAGTTTATGTTCTATAAATGTTAGTTGCAAATAACAAAAAACAATAACAAATTACTGGGAAGACTATAGAACTAAGTCTTTTATTTACAAATTAAAAACAAAATTGATTAGTATACATCATTTTAATTAAATTGTAGTATCTGTGTTTATGAAATTAATAATAAAAATTAAATTCATTTATAATACTTTTATTTTTCCATCTCATTGCACATTCATTAAGTTGTTTGTTCACCTTCTTATCACATTGCATTTAATTACTCACTACGCTTACAGATTTTCTCACCATTCATTTGCTATTCATTTGTGTTTTTGCATTTCCCCCCCTTTAAAAAATGTATATTTTTTTTCTACCTGCTATCTCGAAAGCTGGAAAGGCAAAAAGTGCAAAAAAGAAATAACAATTACCAAGCCAGATAACTCATTAATAACTTGCATGGCAAAAGGTATTTTTAATTTTGCTGTTGAGCATTTTTTGTTACGGTTAATGTTGGTATAACTATTCATGAGACTTAAACGGGTTACTGCTGCTGCTCTGCGGCTCGTTGCTTTCTACATAACAAATGAAAAATATAACAAATACACCCACAGACATAGCCACAGTTGAATCCAAATCCAAACCCAAGACCATCCATCCATCCAACCATCTGCATATATAACTTTGGGTCTCTCAAGTGTTTTGAATGGCCCGTGAATGCGGGCTGCCAAAAATCAAAAGTCAAAATCTGACAAAAAGTAACTCGAAGAATGGTTATTTGGAGCTATTTCTATATATAGCAAAAGAGCCAACTTTGTAGGCCCAATTGACCTTAAATTATTGCCCTGGCGTTGGCGTAATATTTCAAAATTCTCGCATACTATATACATTTTGGGCAAATATTTTGGCCCAACATATTTGGCTTTTGACCACATTTGGCCAATGGGCAATGGGCAATGGCCAACCAGTCACCGAAACATGCAAATCGGGTTTTTATGATGTTTTTGTTTGGTTTTTTTTTTTCGGTCAATTAACCTGCGATATCCGGCCAGAAAGCAACTCGAGCAATTACAAATGCAGAGCAGCCAGCTCGAAGACCAGAGCCACTGAGAAACATGCCACATGCCACATGCCGCATGCCACATGCGAGCTTTCACTGATCCAGCCAAGCACAACTGGGCAGTTTGGATTGGACTCTGAAACTCTGAGACTCCGAAACTCTGAGACTCTGATCTGATCCTAGTTCCAAGATCTCACAATATAAATGCAAAAGAAATACGTGGGCGAACTTTCCCACGTCCACACATTGCAGATAAACTGCACTGAGGGAAAAGAAGCTCATATGTGGTTAGAAAACCCATTCATTACCACACCAGACAATAAAATATTTTAGCAATTTACTTGTATTTACAAAATATTTTAGTAGACAGAAAATTCTAACAAAATCGCCCTCAGCTTTAATATTTACTTTAAAAAATAGGACTACAACACGCCTAGAACATGTTATCAAAAAGGCAAAATTTATTTTAAATTGTTAGAAAGTACGTTAAGCTTTGTGTAACGAATCGAAATTAATTACGTAAATTATATACAGGTTTATTGAGAAGTTTTGCTATAGTATAGTAG